GTGGCCGTTGGTGGTATCTGCAACCCCACGCAAAATCTAATTGTCTGTTTGTTTATTTGCACTGCTTATCAAGGTGGAAGTATTGGGGCTTATGGAATTTAAGGAACTAACCTTGCTATGACCGCAAATAAGTCATTTTGTGACTGGGAGGGAAATAAAGAAATTTTAAAGTTGCATGAATGTAAAAAAAAACTTTTAAAAAGTTAAGAATATTTAAGGTTATAAATTTAAGATTTTCTAATTTTGGGCATGTTTCTGTATGTCAATACGAAAATAAATGCGAAATGAGTTTTTCAAAGAAACATTTACAAAAAACTAATTTAGAATCGATTTTTCGTTCGCATTCACTTTGGTAACGACATAAAAAACAGACCCTTTATTTTTTTTTAAATTCGTAAATCTATATATATAAATGTAAGTTGTGTTAGTTACTACGCTTATAACTTAAGAACCGCTGGATTAATTTTAACGATTCACACAAATTCGGAGTTGTCTACTCTCCGAAAAGGATAATATCCAAAAAAATCGCGTAAAAATGTGATATATTAACATTTTCATTTTGACTTTTCAAATGTACAATAGTAATGTTTTATTTTGCATGATTTTTTTCCATTTTGACTTACTTTTTTCTAATGTACATTTGTAGTGTTTTTTTTTTATTTTATTTTTGAATTCAAATATTTATACCAATTTATTTAATTGACTTGATTTCTTGAGAACTGAAATTGATGGCGGGTTACATGGAAGTGTAGTAGCGAATTATGTGGTGGCGAAACGGAATAGATGATATCGAAATAATTTAACGCGGTCACACCAAAGTTAAAAGATAATTACTTTTTCTAAATCGCTGAAAAATCATGAAAAAGAGATCTCATTGCAAAAATCAAAAAAAAAAATTTCAATGGAATCGAATTTTAAAGTAATAGTACATTCTATTGACAAACTTTGTAAGGAAGGATCTTAAAACATTTGCTGTAAAAATCAGCGAAAAAGTTCCCTGGAGTAGGGAACCATCATACAGATAATTGCCACATAGGAATTTATTTAAGTAAAGTCCCCACATTGGAGTATCCCCAAGTCCACTTTCACATCTAATGTGTGGTCAGAAAAGAAAATTTTGTATTCTATTGAATTTTTAACCCCCAAGAGAATATTGGTTGGGAACGTAGATTTGGGATGTGCATCCATATGAAATAAATTGTGGAAACATGAACAAATTACAAATATAAGAAAGTAGCACGGGACCGAATATTTGTTTAATCATCATTGAATTATCCTATGATGAAAATATGGACTTTATGCCATGTTTACGTTAGAACTTTTTGTAGGGTTAACCTACTTTGAGAGGATTTATTTGAAGTAAAAGTAATGGATATGACAATTTAAATCCAAATCCAGTGGGTTAACCCTCATATATATAAACGTACTTTTAAGGGGTCTCCAACTTACAATTTAAATGGCAAATAAAATTAATTCCCATCTTATCATTCTGCCCGCAATTATGAGGTGGATAAAACTATTTTTACTTATTTAAATCACGCGAAATGCTATGACATGCTATATTGTTCTGCTATATTTTTGATTTGGCCTCTATTTGTCATCTTGGATTATAAGGGGTAGAAGAAAGTTTTCAATGTAGGTCGATGTTTCGGAGTAGTGTCCATATAAAGAAGGTACCTCCTAATTTAACCACATTTCAAAGAATTTGGCTAATAATGCGTATTAGGGGGGTGAAAATCTTACACTAAAATTTCAACATATCTACAAATTTTAGAATTTTTATCCAGGTTATAATACCCTCTCAAGTCCACCTTTTGGCGGACAAACAGACTGACATGGTTAGGGGGACTTATGAGGACTCTAATGCACAATCTAAGTTGCTAATGGGTTTAAAAAAGTAATTAACTTTGGCTATTCTTAAATCATTCAGCCCTCAATTATGTAGTATACAAAATACAGCAAATTCCAAATTACTGCTCATTTGACTGGAAGATTTTGCTACGATTTTTACCATATTAAAAATTAATTTGATCCCTTATATGGCGATAAGATTGATATATACTTTTTAATAGATTTGTATAGCACATCCACACAGTTGAAGCCCACGGTTTAAATATTGAAGCCCACTGGTTAAAAATGGGTACAGGTATTTTAAAACACTTTAAATCGACATGTACGTGAACACTTATATCAGTCATATCTGTGAATAATTATGCTTGGGAATATATGCATAATAGACAAAAACTACGGGCCGGCAACGCGGACCGGGCCAGCTAGTATATCCATAAAGGAAAACGTTATCAATATCGCTTTCACAATATTGCAATTTACACATGCATATATATATTGTTGCTCCCACAACAAGTTTGTCATTTAAATTAGAATTTAATTTATGCACTTTTGTTTGAGATGCAAAAAGTCGTTCAAACCCGGCAGGGAGAGACACACATAGATAGATTTTTCATTTCAAAATGGAAATAGACCCTACCTAGCCAAGTTTCAATGTTTGTCTGTGCACTCGGATGACGACTTATAAACATGCGCTTATCACGTTAGTATTCCAACAATCTTACGTGATAGTTACATATGTAGGCACCTCGAGTTCTCCCCAAACCCCCAATCACGTCCCTCGACTTTGTTGTTTATTTTCTATTTAATAATTTTTCCATGCAAAAAAAAAACGCCGCAACAGTATTTTTTTACAGCTGAATGGCTGCCATTAAAAACCGTGAAGTGTTTTGGTGATAATTCACCATAAGTATTAGATTAAAAAGGGATTTCTTTTATTTTCAAAATGTGCATTACAACATCAACAACAATTGATGATAATGACGATAGAAGTGCTATATTTGTTTTTCAAAAATAATTCAGTGTAAATTGGTATTCAGGAAACGGGAGAAATGATACGAAGTTTAGTATACACTCATACCATGGTAGAAGAATATAGGTAGACGCGTCGACACAGCTGCTGGGACAATGAACTGTCAAACCAATTTTGGAATTGAAAATGTTGAATGAAAAATTATTTAAATTTGTAAAAATTGTTGAAAAACGCGAATTATAATAGCCTCCGAATGACGTAGTATAAGAAAACATATAAAAATCTACTTATATTTGAAAAAAACATTTAAAATTTTTTGACATATCAATGCTCCCAAGCGTTGATGCATCTACCTGTATTCTTCTGCCATGACTCATACATTACCCAAAGCCGAAAAAATGTTTCATTTATAAACGGTATATCATGTAATTTTGAATAACTGAAAGTTAAACGAAAATGAACAAAATTCTTCTTTACTTGCCAAAATCAAATTATGTAGTTTTGTTTATATACATCTTCAATTGTTTGTTAATATTTTCTATACTTGATTTGAAACAAGAAACATTTAGTTTGTAATGCGAATAGTTATATTTCTAATCAACAAACTACTCAAAATATTTATATGTTTAGTTCATTTTTTAAATAAAACGTTAAATACTGTTATTGTAATAGGGTCAAGAAATGCAAGAACGTTAATGTTAATGATTTCCCCTTTATGATATCGAAAATAATTGCAAAAGTAGTCGATTCTTGCAGGTACTGGAATAAAGCAATTGTTCGTAGATGTATGTGTTCAATATATTGGATTTTATTTTTAATATAAATTAACAATATTTTTGACACTGAAAGACCAGAAAAAGGACCCAAATATTTCTTTCATTAGTTCTGGACATGGTACAATGAAATAAAGATAACCTCATATAAAATTAGCATTCTCAGCTCTGTATTTTCTGTAATTTACATTGTCAAATTTCAGTGCATAAAAAATAGTTCCCATCTCTGATTATGTGGGTATACAGGGTGAGATAAAAAAAACTGCAATAAAGTCAAACGCCATCATGTTTACATTTTTTTTAATTTCATTGAATGAAAGCAAAAAAATTCGGAAATAGCATAAAATTTGGAAATAAGTGTAGATTTGTTCGAATTGGTCACCTTTGGCACGAATTATGGACTTCAAACGGCCAACGAAACCGTCACACTTTTCCCGAATGTTGCTCTGCGGTATTTTGACACATTCCCGGCGAAGCGCTTGCTTGAGGTGATCTTTTATATTTTTAGGGGCCAACCTTACTTTCCAAAATACTCCAGACACAATAGTCCAACGGATTGGAATCCGGAGATATTAGTGGCCAATGTGCGTTGAAAATGAAACGAGAAACCTCATTTTGTAACCATTCTTGGATGGTGCGTGCCAAGTGCGATGGTACTGAGTCCTGTTGGAATGTCCAAGGTCTGCGGTCAAAATGTTTGCAAGCCAAAAGCTTTAATATATCCTCCAGAATATTTTCGCGATAATATTCGGCATTTATTCTGATTCAAATTATAAGTGCGTATTCAAAAACTATCATAGTTTGTATCATCTACCTAACAATAAACTCCCTATATAAACGTTTATTTGATACGTGTATCAGTACTAAACTATCACTGGGAACTATCCAAATTATAAGCATTTAGAAATATTCATGTTCTCCATAATTGTTGTAAACTAGCTGGATAATCACACTAAAGTATCAAAAATTATAATTTAAAATTTTTACTACCATAACCTCTTGAAAAAAAGCAAAAATTGTTGATTCTTGCACGTTCTGGAACAAATCTCTTATATGACTTTTATTCACACTTGTATCATCAAAGAAACTGGCCCTAAATAGCGTATTAAAGTATCATCCTCTGATTAGTGTAAACAAATATCACTTAAATCCAATTTATTTTTTAAATGAACAAGAATCTACGGAAATCGAGAATCGATAACATACATTGATTAAAAACTTCAAACCCCATTTTTGAACCTTTAAACCCCTATAATACCGGTCTCTGCGCCTTCTCTACTTCTCGATCTATAAAGCTCTAATGCCGTCGGCCTTTCTGTTTTGATTCTCTAACTTTATTTTTATTTCTCACATACACAATCTTTCCTTTCATATGACTTATGAAGTAACCATATATGTCATATAAGTAATTAGTAACCAGATAGCTCTTACAGCTGTCACTGAGCTCGAAGACTAGGGACATATGAAGTTGCTCTTTCACCATCAAATTTATTTATTAAAATCTCCTTTCAACGTAACTTGTAAGCATTTGTTGAATCAAAAATGAGTATCTGTAGCCTCCGAGGCAGTCAACTGCAGCTATGCAGACGTGCATTTATATTATCCAGCTGTAGCAGGCCGGCAGCGTTCCAACCAGTTGCGGCAACCAAGAAAGGTAAGACTGACAATGTTACGTATTGAGGTTATGTGTTGGCTGATTAATTGTACAATAGGACAATATCCTGTATTAACAAACAATGCTAAATTAAATTGCATTTCTTTTTCAGTGACAACACGTGAGGCCCACAGCGCTCTATATCAAATGGTAAAAAAGCAACAAAAAATTGAAAACAAGAATCAAGCAAGTTCAAGAAAATATCCCAGAAGATTTGAGGGACCTATGAGTCCTGAGGATTGTTCCATAAGGTCACAAAATTCTCGAAAAACGAAATTTCTAAATGAATGTGCCATTCCATTTTCAAGCATGCCTCCATCAAGTCCATCATTACCTCAACAACCCGTGGAAAGAGTGAACAACGTCCAAAATAAAATGCAAGAAAACTACAATGTGAATAGTAGACAGAATTTGTTCCATAGAATCTTATTTAAAAGAACACATTTTTACCGATGAATTACTACAAGCTTGGAACAACTTTTCTTTCGTACCCTTCTCTGGACAGTAGCGATTGTACCAGTGGTAGTTCCTTTTATCCTGTTTTTGGCTTTATGAGTGCATGATGTATGGACCTTAAAATGTTTTTATATATAACCGATAACATCACTTTACTCGAATTCTACTAGTGGTCACTTGAATGGGCTTTTAACAAAAACAACATTTTGGTCTGGATTTTTTTTTATAAAAAAGAATATCGAATATTATTAAAAAAGATGATTTGATTGTTTATGACACCCATATTGTTGGAATACCCATCGGTGCCCATATCTTCGATATAAACAGGATAAATGAAACTACACTTAGTAAATATTTAGAATAATTCTGCTAGGTGTCCCTAAAGGGTAAAAATATGAAAGTGTCCTACTATTGCCTGAGCAATTTTTGAACTTCCAATTATACACACATCTCTCTTAATTGATTTGGTCTTAATGTTGCATTAAATTATCCATATTTTTGTTAGGAGCTATGCCGTCCCAGACTTTCCTGTAACACTGAAGTACTCAGAGCAGTAAACTGTAATGTTAGCCGAAAAGCGAGCAATGAAAGTAAAGAAACAAGTGCTTGTAATAAATCTGAATCCGGTACATCCACTGGTACTCCAGGAGGTGACAAAGGTGATGATAAAACTAAAACAATTCTCTTAGCTTTGGCAGGAGCTTTAGGCGTTGGCGGTTTGGTAAGTTGTTTTTATTATGTAACCTTCTTTAATTAAAATGCGTTTTTTATGGAATTTTTCTAGATATACTACTTTATGAACGACAAATCGAATACAACTACAAGTACTACGCCAGAAATTTCTAAACCCAACTCTTCTGATTTGCCGAAGCATGTACCATATTTATTAATAGGAGGTGGCACCGCCTCGTTTTCTGCATTCCGTGCTATCAAATCGAATGATGCCAAAGCAAAGGTGAGCTCAAGAAAGAACTGTATTTTGTTGCACATACCATTTATTCATAAATAATTTCAAGTCATTTATTAACAATGAATATTGAAATTATATGAATAACGTTTATTTGATTTTAAAATATAAGAAATTTTCGTTAATGATTTTAATTTTTTTCTATCAGGTCCTTATGATTACAGATGAAAATCATAAACCCTATATGCGACCACCCTTGTCCAAAGAATTGTGGTACACGGCGCAAAAGGGTGAAATCAGCAACGATTATCGTTTCAAGCAATGGACTGGAGCAGAGCGAAGCCTTTATTTTGAACCAGAAGAATTTTTCATTGAGCCATCTAAACTTAGCGACAGCGAAAACGGAGGTATTGCCGTAGCTCAGGGATTCAAAGTTAAGAAAGTTGATCCCACCAATCGTGTCATCACACTTAGCGATGGTTATGAAATCACTTATGATCAGTGTCTTATAGCCACCGGATGTACTCCAAAGAATTTGCCAATATTTACAGAGGCTCCACCAGGTGTAAGGGAAAAGGTTATGGTCTATCGCACTCCCGAGGACTTTGAGAAACTTAAAAAGTATTTGGACAACAAGAAAACCGTTGCTATAATTGGTAACGGCTTCTTGGGTAGTGAGTTGAGTTGTTCCTTGGCTAATTACAACAAAAGTAAAACCGATTCAGGTCGCATTTATCAAATATTCCAAGAAACTGCCAATATGTCGAAAATATTACCGGATTATCTTAGCAAATGGACAATGGAAAAGGTTAAAGCTCAAGGAGTTTGTGTTGTGCCCGGTGCCAGTTTAAAGAGTGTGCAAAGAGACAATTCACATTTGAATTTAGCTTTAACTACAGGAGAAACCATAATGGCTGATGTGGTGAGTTTTAAATCACAATGGATTTTGGAAAATGTATATACAAGAGTTTTGTTTGCTGCTTTCTTTTTTCAAGGTGGTTGTTTGTGTAGGTTGTGAAGCCAATACGGAAATTGCAAATGGTTCTGGCTTGGAAGTTGATCAGAATTTAGGTGGATTCGTGGTCAATGCAGAATTGGAAGCTCGACGTAATTTATTTGTTGCTGGTGATGCCTCCTGTTTCTATGATCCCCTGCTGGGCAGGAGACGTGTGGAACATCATGATCATTCTGTGGTATCGGGTCGTTTAGCAGGCGAGAATATGGTGGGGAAAAGTACGTATCTAAAGAAAAAATACGACATTTGGAATATTGAATATATTTTTCGCTGTGCTTTTTCAGAGAAACCATATGCCCATCAAAGCATGCTCTGGTCTGATTTGGGTCCCGAAATTGGTTATGAAGGTATTGGCTTGATTGACTCGTCATTGCCCACAGTTGGTGTTTTTGCCCTTGCCACCAAAACTGAAAGACAAACAGATAACCTTACAGAGTCTAGTAAAGACGAAACGGAACAAGCCAAGACCACAACTCCTAGTCAAGATGTATCCGATGTGAAGTGTAAAGAAGAACAGGCTGACAATTATGGACGGGGAGTTGTATTCTACTTAAGAGATGAAAAAATTGTTGGCATTCTACTGTGGAATATTTTTAATCGTATTGGTCTGGCACGCACGATTATTAAGGAAAACAAGAAATATGAAGATCTTAATGAAGTGGCGAAACTATTCGAAATTCATTCGTAGATCTATTAATCTATAACATAGTTATAAATTTGTATGTCCTATGTACTTTGGTAAGGTAGAAATGTTTTTGTTGTTATTTAGAATCGATTTCTTTCCCAGTAAGAAATTGAATGTATTGTACCTACGAACGAAGACAAAATACACAAATAATCCCTGCATTTTCCATGAACTGACAAAACACAAAACCAGCTGCTAATTATTTTAACCCAGTGGTTTAACCCACATATTGTAGTCGGTGCTTGGATTAGGTAAAATCTAAGTGCGTGCTAGTAAATTAGTTAATCTTTAGCTTTAAAAATATGTTACATATGTTCTGTAATACGTTTATGATCAGGTAATAAAAAGTAGGGATTCGCGGATTTTTGCGAGCGATGTAGGTATATTTGAAGAACATATATAAATTCATGGTCAATCGACACACATCATCAGTCTCTGTTCAGCTATGGAAGCCAAATCTAACGCGTTACCTTTGTACGATTACCATCAAAGTGATCGTATGTTTGAGGAAAAGGACCTATTAAGAAAATTAGAAGAAGAAGCTGGTAAGTAATTAATTAGTATAACAAATATGTAAAATAACATTGTCGTTTAATTTGTAGAGCTTTGTATACAAGAACATACTGAAGATGAAGTTACAGCGGCAATTGGTATGATGTTAATGCATTACCAAGCCGTTTCGGATGCTCAGTTTACTCCCAAAAATAAACCCATAGTACAAGGTTCCACTTCCAAACCACCATCAATACGTGAAGAAAATTGTCCACAGACGGTGGCAAAAGAAGACACAATTTTACACAACATTCAGCATACTACCGATATGAAGCGTAAAAATCGCAAAAGTGCCGCAAATAAATCTTCCTCGCTACTTGCCTCTTGCCGAAACATTTTAAAAGAGTTTTTATCACAAAATAGTATGTAGATCACGATGTTATAAACATCATAACAAGAAAAGGTTGCCCTCAAAAACACAAAACAAAAGAAATATCCTATAAGGATTAGCAATTAAGTTAGGAAACAATTTCAATATGATTATTTTAAATATAATTTTAATAAAATTACAAATTATATAAAATGCGAAATGCAAAATACATTTGTTTTTTAATTAAATGTGTTGTGCAAACGGAAAAAGCAACAAGAAACAGATTTTCAAAATGGTTGTAAAAAAATTTAAAAACTACTTAATTCCAATATTATTGATTAGAAATTTAAACTATATATTTAATAAGTCTTGCCTGAGAATCCAAACTAAAATGCTCACAATTTCCCACAATCCAAAATGTGGATCTTTTCTGTCACAGAAAGTAGTACACATTGTGAACTCCAAATTTCAAATTCAAAATAATTTCGGTGAAAAGTGTTGTAAAATAAAGGGAGGTACCGTTGTAATCAATTTTCTTTTAGTGAAGTTAGAGAGAACTCCAAATACCAAATTTGACATAATTCCAGTGAAAAATGTCAACAAAATACCGAATATCGGGGAATTATATGGGAACTATACCTAAACTGTCCATATAGATAGACAATTCTTTGTCCTACCTAATAGGAACACAAAGTTCCAATTTACAGCGGATTCTATTCAAAAATATGGCTAAAAACGCCAAAACTCCTTCAATCGGGCGGAACATTTTCAATACCTAAAATTCTACGCACCTAAAATGCATTTAAACAAATATTGCTCAGACTACTTCATTTCGTTCGAAAGCAAAAGTGATTTCCACAGACGGACGCACTTAGCTTAATCGACCTAGTCTTATGTTTATCAAGAATATACAGGGTGATATAAAAAAACTGCAAAAAAGTTGAACGCCATAATTTTTAAATATTTTTTTAAATTTTATTGAATGAAATGGCCCATTGTCGGAAATGGCCCATTACCGGCGAAGCGCTTGCTTGAGGTGATCTACACTTTGGTATTTCTTAGTGCCAACCTTGCTTTCCAAAATACTCCAGACACAATAGACCAACGGATTGGTATCCGGAGATTTTGGTGGCCAATGTGCACTGGAAATGAAGCGAATAACCTAATTTTGTTTGCGTGCCCAAGGCTTTAACACACCCTCCAGCATATTTTCACTATAATATTCGGCATTTATTCTGATGCCACGGTCGATTAATACAAGCGAAGAGCGACCATCGGCTGTTATGGCGGCCCACACCATCACCATGGCCGATGCTTAAGTTCTGGTGACCTCTTTGGCAAGTAAACACGATCATTTTGTTTGTTTACAAACTGCTGGACAACGAATGTTTTCTCATCGGAGAAAACCAAACTCGGCAGTTCACCACTTTCGTCCAAGCGAAGCAACTCTTTAGCTCTTTTGAATCTATATTCTTTCTGTTGTGGAGTAAGTTCTTGCACCTTTTGGAATTTCAATGGTTCATTTTTCAATATTTGCCGAATGGAATATTGCGATATGTTCAGCTCACGAGGCATTTTTCGACCACTGCGACGCGGGTTTCGATCAAGTCGCTTTTCTACTTTTCTAACCATGTTGCTGTTTTCTTCCGTCCTGTTTCTTGGGCTAAGCTACTAGTATCACGGTAACGTGCGATGGTACGAGACACAAAAGATTTATTTACATTTAAATGCTGGAGTGCTCTAACGAAAGCCACTTGTGGTTTTCCAGCCAAATATAAAGAAATCACACTACCACGCTTGAGTTACATCACGAATAACTTTGTTTCTGGAAAATTCTCAGCAAAATGCTTTTGTACGCTTGTAGACATTATAATGAGCTGTCACTGAAATGATTCTAAAAGCTGTCGGACGAGTGGCTTAGAAATGACAGCAGTCTGAAGTTGGTTGCAGTTTTTTCATCTCACCATGTCATTGTCGACGCCGTCACTTGTCTTGGCACAAATCGATTTTCTATATCTTAAAACCTGACTAGCTCTTTTGAAAAAATAATTTCATGAAAACATACTTGCGTAGCCTCTCAAAAGATAAAACCCAAAATCTCGTTTTTTGTTTGTTTTAAAAGTAATTTTATTTTTGAAGACAAAAGAAAAAAATATTTTTTGTTTTATTCAACTACTTATATTTCATGGTATAATTTGCATTTGTTGTTGTTTTTTTTTCATTGTTTTTAATTAAATTAATTAATTGGTAATACAGCTATAAGCTATTAAATTAAAGCTAAAAATGTGGGGGTTGGTTTTCCAGAAAGAAACAAATTCAAAATGTTCTTTTTGTTTTTGTAAATTGTGTAAATATATGATTTTCTTTTCTTCTTCACTTCCGTTTTGTATTTGTAATGGTAAGTATGTAAATATAAGTGTTTTTGTATGTATATATGCATGTTTTCCCTTTTATTGTTGTAAGGCTAAATTGTAAAAATTGTGTTGAATATTTTTGTTTGATCTTATGGTTTAGGGTTTTAATAAAACATTTGTATTTATTGTAATTCGTTTTGTTTTTTTTTTTTCTTGTTTCAGATATTTACAATGGTGTTGGCTATTACTAAACTTATTTTTATAGAAAAAAATAAAAATAAAAAAGAGAAAACAATGAAAAATCATAAAAAATATTGTTTAAAAACTACATAAAATGTTAAGATAAATACGATTTGATTTTCTTTTTATTTTAATAAAAAAAATCATTAAATTACTGAAAATATTAAAGCAATTTTATATCAGATTTTCCTTTTCTGCTAAAGTTCTTATTTAAAAAATATTTAATATATAAGTATGTATATGTGTATAAAAAACAGAAATTACTCTTAATGGAAGCCAAGGGGGGAAGAGTTTTTCATTTGTTTTATTTTTTAAACAATGCGAAATGATTGTAAAACGAAGACAATTGATTCAGTTTGTTTCCGATGACTGGATTTTCCCAAGCTAGGCTTAGGAAAGCAAAATCCAGTTTTAAATGGGATTTTAAGGAGTAAAGACAAATTAAATGAAAGAACAATCAATAAGCGAATTCATTGAACAGAATTTGTTGTTAATGTTAATACAAAAAAGGATATGTGTACTTTGAATAAAGAATTCTATTTTTTTTCTCGTGTGGTATATACTCTCCATTTTGTTAATCATTTCTTTATAATTTTTTGCTATCACATTTTGTTTGCAATTATTATTTCTTGTATTGTATTTTTATAATTATTTATATTTTTTTCTTAGACAAATTTCAAATTGGTTAAAGCTGTTCCAGGGTGAAAAAAAAGCTTTGTTTCTAATAAATACAGTTATTTTTCTTTATAAATTGATTGATTTCAATATGTATGTATGTATGCATGTATATAACAAGTAACAATTTTTGTTCTTATTCTTCATAGGGGGTCATCATTAGGGAAGAGGGTGTGGGGGTCGATTGGAGGTATTACGAAACCATCGTTAACAATAGGAGGGGACATGGTTCTATTATTAGCATAGCTTATATAGTTTTAGGGGGAAAATCATCAATTCATCTGTGTTTTTAATAAGAATTCATTTAGGAGTCCTATATTCTTCTACTCCTCTAATTAAAAATACCTATTTTTGTAATAAACTGTACATTAGAATAAGAAAAGATAAACTTCTAAATTGGCACATTTCGTAATTTCCTAACAATTTAACAAAATTAAATACAGAGTATAAACATTTCTTGTTGTTCTTTTCTTATTTTTTGGAAAATTTACACAGAAAGAAACGAAGACCAATCTTTGTTTGTGGCTTTTGTTTTCCTAATCACAACAATCAATCGAGGTATATATTTCAGAGTACAGTAACAGCAGCTACAGTACACAAACGTCGTTCTGAGTTACCTATGGAAAATGTACATCGTTTGTGTCAATCTGTAATCTTGGAAATATTCCAGTCCTAAAATGATTGTCGTGGTGTTTTTTTGAACATATTCTTCTTTAATGCGTATTTCCTTTCCGCTTTGTTTTCTATGGGGGATGTAAGGAAATTACTTTCTCAAATCTGTGGCGCCCATGCTGTCATGGCTGGGACTGGATTCCATTTCACTGGATTCACTGTCCATGGGCGTTGGTGTATTGCGCTGTTGCTGCTGTTGGTTGTCGTTACTGTCATTCAGGCTTGAATTTTGCTGTTGAGTTCCAGCTCCACCTTCGCTTTCATTGTAACGTATTAATTTAATTGTGGTCAAGCCATCAGCATTTCGTATCAATCTAAAAGGAAGAGAAAAATAATCGGTCAGTAAACGGGAACTTTTAAGATGTATTTACGTTTTAATTAAAAACTTGAAATCTGAAATTGTCCCTAAGCTCTTAAAAATCTCATAGAAATCTTTAAAGGTTTTGTAATTTCTGCTAAATATACTTGCTAAACATTCTGTTTTAATAGTCTGACAAACGAACATTTCTGGTGGTTTAGCGTTAATTTTTGTATTTAATTTTGTATAACCACAAAAAATAAATTTATATTAACAAAACCGAAATTAGAAACATTGATATTTACTGCAACAATTAAAATTAGAAAACAAATTCCTTTAAGATTATTAAAAAACTAAGGAATTAAAGAACTAAGAAATTTATATTTCAATATATTTTTTTTCAAACAAAAAGCCTATTTAATTTTTCGAAAAAGAAAATCACTTACGGATAGCAATCGTCATTAGCCGATGGACTGGAATAGGGTCTCTTCTCGACACTACTACTGCCGCTAACACTCAAATCTGTGGGTTTCATTTCATCGGATGCTGCACCGGATGTCTCGTGCGATGTTACTGAATTTTGTTCGTTTTTCATGATATTGAACTGAAATTTGTCATTGGGTGTTGTGGGCAGAGCGGCTGGGGAATTCGGTGGCACACCGTTGGAGGACAGATAGTGGAAAGCTCCATTAATGGCATGCATGAACAGCGGTGATGATGGTGGTGGGCCATAGGCGGCAGCAGCAGCTGCTGCCACGGCAGCGGCAGCCGATGATATGCTATTGGGCAAAGTCAAGTGATTGGGATTGCCTTGTGATGAGGGCCTCTGTGGAGTCTGCATTTGGCTGGCTGGAGTTTGCGTTGGCATAGCCCAGTTGGTACCGTTGGAGGTTGGTGAGTTTGTAATTGATGATGGTGATTGATTGACATTAGAGTTGCTACCATTGGAATTAGTAGCCCCAGGACTGCCATTTGTGCCATTGGTCTGGCCCACAGATTGTCGTAGCAGGGAAATATTTTTAATGTTTTTCAGTTCCGTGGGATTTCTCAAGAACTGATAGCAATGACGTTCACCTTGGACTTTGCGCAAAATGTTGACGCGGTAATAGTAACGCAAGGCACGTGACATCTTGTCATAATTCATGGACAAATGGTTCTTTTGAATGCCCCACAATTTGGCCAAACCAGCAGGATCCACAATTTTAAAGACGCCAGTATCACGACACTTCCAGGCAATCAAGTCACTGTATTTCTGGTTGCGGTCGTTGAGCAACTGTTGCAAGAAGTCCCACAGCAAGCGACCATCTGAGAAGAGAGAAAAAAAAAGAAGGAGAAATCAGTTATAAATCCCCGAAACTCGAAGATGTGATGGCAATAACTTACTTGTATTGGGTTCTGTATTTTCTGGGAAAAATTCACGTTTTACTGGTTGCATATAACGATTGTCAGTTTTGTCGGGGAAGAACTCCCTTTTCACTGGTTGCATGTAGCTAGGCGTGGTGGGAGCTGATACCGAACCACCGCCCAGATTGGGTAACTTTTGCTGTTCCAAATTCAAATGTTGTTGCTGCTGTTGTTGTTGTTGCTGCTGAGACCACGAATTGACAAAGGTGTTCTTGATCTGTTGCTTCAGGCTTTGTGGCATATCCTTGAGTATGGGCGTTGTGGGCGGACTGTTGTTATACTGGGCCACGGCTGCGGCAGCAGCGGCTGCCGCTTGATACGATTGGGCGGAGAAGTTCACAATTGTACTGTTGGCTGCAGGTGGTTCAGAATAGCTTTCTTCATCTGAATCCGAATGATGACTACTGGCACTGGTGGCATTATGATGTTGCTGCTGCTGCTGTTGTTGTTGCTGGTGCTGATGCTTTAAGGCACTGAAAGCATTGTTGGCGCTCAACGCCGCTGCTGCTGCTGCCGCCGCAGCTGCTGTAGCTGTTGCAGAAGCTGATGAAGTGCTACCCGTGCTACTTGTGCTACTGCTACTACTGCTGTTCCCATTGTGTGCCGACGACGATGATGAAGACGACGACGAGGAAGAGGAAGAGGGTGAATTTGATGTTCCATTCTGTTGTGGTTGTGATTGATCATGGCTTTGGGGCGGGCTACTGGCTTGCGAATCTACGGAAGGCGGGGGACTGAGGGTCACCGAATTGGGTGCCATGAAATGATGTGGAGCTAAATGAGAGGTCTGATGAAAGGCACTTTCTGGCGCCCCTATTGGCGGCCAAGTCGGGGTAGGTGGATGGCTGTGGGGCGAAAGGGGGTAACGGCTGGTTGGTGTGACAGGACTATTTGGTAAATGCCACTGCATCATATGCGATTCGATCACCAGCATTTGTAGGACATTATGCAAGACATCGCCAGCTCCCGGACACCGATGTCCGAAATCAGCTCGTGTCAGCAGGCACAATGCCTTGCCATTCATTTGGAAGAGATCATAATCGACTTTGGGCAAATCGAACTCACGTTCGCAGAAATGCAAGAATACGGCCACATCTTCGCGACTCCACAGGCGTGGATCTGACGGTAGTGATGGTGGCAATTGTGTTTTAAGCTCGGCCAATTGGCTGGGCTGTGCTGGAGGACAGCGCCACAACATATCGCTCCATAAGCCTAAAGGCGGATTCAGTGATAACTGTACCGGAAGCATTTTCATTTTGATTTTGTTGTAACAATTTGGAGAATATTTTTCGTTCGCCTCGTTGTTGCTGCTAGATTTCACGTCAATTTAATCCAATGATAAGAGAATAAGAATTCGACAATCGTATCATAGGGATAACATTGAGGTGATGATTTCGTAGTTGATTGAGTGTTTATTGGAAGACAGTCACAGATTTAAAGCTGAAAAGAGAAAAGAACAAAAAAATAGGAATTATATTTCAATTTCAAAAAAATGTAATACTTGTGTTATTAAATGTATTTAAATATTAATAAAATAAAATGCATTTTAACGAAAAAATTTAACAATTATTGAAGTGCTAATCCTTGGGACGACAAGATTTGAAAATATTGAAAAAAAAATATATATTTGAAAGCTAGCAAGTTAGTTTTAGATAGGATAGAGTCCACAATTTGACCTGTCTAATGAATATATTAAAATTGTTTTATTTGTAAAAAATATTAATGTAAAGGTACATGTTTCATACCAATATTGTTCATATTATTGGCTTATTGGCTTTTTCATTGCAACATATAAATAAATAAATAAATGAAATGAAATATATTCTTGATTATATACTGATGTAGTTTCTCATATATGCTCTGTTCCAGAACTTGCAAGCATATATATTTTTTTATTTTTTCGATATCATAAAGAAAAAAAAATCGGTTATGGTAGTAAAAAATTACAATCTTGCAGCTCTGGTACGGATCAAATGTTACCAAATAGAAAAGTATCAATTAAAACGATAAAAAATTAATGATTGAATATTTTTGAATACAAAATTTATTGCTTGTGAAAAACTTGTATCTCCAATTTTTATACATCAGTGCTTTGTCGATTTTCAAAGATTTTTCCCACTTTTTTATTGTCTAGTTCTCACATCATTTATTTATTATTCTGGGTAGGTATTTTGTTATCATTTTGCTAATTCATGCTCCAATTGTTTATTTTCACTGGATTTCCTGTATCCTGTATTTCCAACACACTTTGTGTATTTTTCTTCATTGAATTTTTAAAACCTTATTTATGATTCATATTTCTTAGTTTTCAAATATTCAATTTTCAATACATTTCAGATCACATTTCAACAAAAAAATCAAATGTTTTCATTTGTTTTGATTTCAAATAGTGATGTTGTAGTCGTTGTTACTTTTGTATTTGGGCAAAATGTTTTGTGGGTGTAAATTTGAATATTGTTTGTACTTTTTCAAATTAATATACAAACATTTGTATGTCTGTACGTACGTGTATCGTACTACATCTATATATCTAAATAGCGAGTAAAGACACCACAACAAAACGCGTCAGAGTCTTTCTTCATCGAAAAAATCGGTCACTTCCGTTTCGAAAGCAGGGAAATATTTTCACACACAAAAAACAAATTGTTGAAGAAACAACAGCAACAACAAACGTACATACATAAATAAATAAATAGAATATGTGCAAGACGTTTACGCGCGAGAGGAGCAATGCCGTCGCCGCCGCCGCCGACACAGATGTTTAAGATTTTAGGAAATCGAAATCAAATTTCAAATCAAAACCCAAACAGAATAAGACGGACGAATAAATAAACAATCACATCCGTCCGCCGTCCAACAATCAACAAATAATGATTTTTTTCTTTAAATTTTGGTTTTCTTTATGATTTGTTGTTGGTATTGTTGTAGTATCCAAAAGAAGCAGAAATTACGAATTATTCAGCAGCAGCCCACAATGTTTTTTTCAAATTGTTTTAATTAATTTTTTGTTTAAAATATTTTAGCACCAAGCATACATACACACATTATTTTCAATATTGTTTTTCTTTTTATAATTTTTTAAAATAATTTTCTATTTTTTTATAATTAATTAATTCAAATTATTTATCCACCTTTTTGTTAATAATATTTTGTTGTAGATTTGTTTTGCGGCACCACAGGCAATGTTGTTGATATTCGAAAATAGCTTTGGTGTGTTGTTGACTCAACGATGCTGATGGTGATAATGAGACAGTGTTGACGACGATGATGAGTATGGCAAATAATATTCCGGAAAATGAGAACTTTTGTTGTTGGCTGATGGTGTTTATATCACAAATTAAATATATGTTTGAAAAAAAAATTAAAATATTCGTTCGTTTTTTTTTTCTTTTCTTCGTTGGGTGCGCGCAATAATGACGACACGGGCGAGCACACGGACAACACGACACAGACGATGTTGCTCAGTAAACGTTTAACTTCTTATTGAACACACACTTGAACTAAATATTCGAGTGTAGCAAAGACACGGATTTTGAGCATTCAACAAAACACCACCACACCAACAACACGAACATGCTGAGAACGACGTCGGCGATGATGACGTTGTCGACAACAACAACACAAGCACAGCAACGACGTAGTCGTCGTCTTCGTCTCCAAACAATGTTTGAAGAAGAGGAAGAAAAGCCAAAAATAAGAGAGGAAGACAGTTGACGGTATGGCGTTGCTGGTGCTAGAGTAGAGTTTGTGTTTGCTGGATATAGCTGGTGGTGTGTTGGCGGCGGCGTTGACGGTGCTGACACAAAACGAACAGCTAGGAAACACAACATTTAATGTCCTCTTCTTCTCGCAACAGCGATGGTAAAATTAGAATTTTAAAGGTGTGGTACGATTTGGAGAGTGAAAGAGGTACGTTAATTGTACACTGTCTTTGTCATTCCTAAGGTATCTACAGCAAGACCTATACAATTTGACAACGAACTAATATAACGGCTACATTCGGTATTTTTAAGATTTCAAAAGAAATTTTAACGGATTTTATTTTTTTGAAAATTTATAAAATCCTTTCCCAATGGTGAGGGGAATTCAAAGATCGGTCCGGCCGAATTTACAGCTTTTTTTTTACTAATTATATCTGAGTTCAAATAGATAATTTAGACCCCAAATACATATTCATGATCAGTGTATAATTCTAATTCGATGTAGCCACATCTGTTGTACTCAAGGTGGTATTCAAACTACTCGATTTCCATATTTTGGAAAGGTTGTCACATACATGTATGAGGTTATTTCAAATTATTTTAAATTTTTCTCAAACGCAGATTAGGGTTTATAGCTGGGTTGTGAACTTTAATAAAAATATATTGGACGTTTGCTCATGTTTAAGTATATTCGCCCGATTTATACCACATTTTTGTTCAAATCGAATTAAATTGGTAATTAGTTTTCGCAGAGAGTAGAAACCAGCTTCCAAAGAAATGTCCTTTGGTACAGCCCCTATATAACAACATTCCGATTTAATGTATTTTTCGTGTTTTATGCATTTTTTTAACTAAATTGCATTTAGTGTTTATTATTGTCCTTTAAGGCCGCATACAGCTACGGCTCATATTTAATCATTATAACTTATGACTCCTCAAGATGTAAAAACATAGACAATTAACATAACCTTCAGACGAATTTTTGGATTATTGATAATTTTTGAATTGCTGTGCTAAATCATATTCAAAATTTTTGCAAACGTTTTCATACTGATTTCTCAGATCTTTGCAGTTTTACATGGAACTCGCTAAATTTTAAACATGGTAATAGCATCTCTTGTTCTTTGTGCTGGGTGTCCAAAAATTGGGTTAATTTTTAAGCACAACGTACCAAAAATGTCCATCTCTGTTACATAGCAAACAACACGAAGCAGCAGCGTCGCAGTCGTTATGCACATTAAGAATACCAACAACAAGAGAAAATACATCGACAACAAGAACAACAACACAAAAGAAAATCATATCCACCAGCCTTAAATGTTCGTTATGGAATCTGGCTGAGTTTAAAATACGTTTTTGTTGTCATTGGATGGATAATTTAAAGAGTGTTACTGGTTTCGGCCTCCCTTACAAATCCATCTGTGCCTTCCTTGTCTGTCCTGTTCCGTATGACAGCGAGCAAGCAGCAACAACAACACAAGATTTGCCTTCGCTACCTGCGAACAAGTCTTATTTTTTGCTTGGTTATGTTTATGTTGTCTTTTTTTAGTTGTTTGGTCTTCGTGCTGACGCTGATGATGCTGCTGCTTCTGATGTTGTTGTTGGTGCTTGTGGACCTAGACAGACATTAAACGGAAGTGAGCGCATTCCTTAGTAAACCATCATCAAGAGTTTTTTCAACATTGTGCAGCAGAGCAGTGAGAGGGAGAGAAGATGCTTGTGATCAATACAGACATGCCACCACACATCTCAACCCAGACCATCATCGATTCATCCACACCCATATTTAAAGCAACTTTCTGTTGGATTCAACCGATCTTCATTTGAGGAACATTAACAACTATGTCTCAGGGATGGGAAATTGAAGCGTTTGCAAAATTTCGGAGCATGTGTTTTGAGGCAGATCGGATCGAAAAGTAAGCTTTCAAACAAATGTTTATCAATAATGAAATAAAGATTGGTGAAAAGTAAAGTATATAAAGCTTTTTTAATCAACTTCTAAAGTTTTTTGTTGAATGGATTAAAAAAATGAAGAGCAATTTCCTAAAATTAGACATTTTAGGCGGCTAGAGGGAAGGCTTTGTCTATGTGGCTACATGCAAACCACCTATAACTATCATTATCAATGATTTACACTTCCTGCGTAAATTGATCTTAAAATTCTAGTTTTCTATTTAATTTAAAAAATTTCGATAACTAGCTACATTTGAAAGAATACTAGCTACACTGATCCACAATAGACTTAAATTGGTGAAGAAAATGAGATTTTCCATCCCTGATCAGTGCATATCCTAAACGGCAGGGAGGACGAAAAAATAATATCATAAGACTTGTTTTCCTTTCTTACGACTTTTTTAGGAGATGTTTCAGCAGAAGAAGAAGAAACTGCTCAAGACGTTGGTGACCGAGTAAAATGAAATTAAATCCCAGTCATCCGCCATACACACATCCATCCACTTACAAATGCGCCATACCAAGAAGCAACAAAAACAACAACAACAAAAACACAATATGAAAAACGCCACACAAGTATGTATGTTTACATTCAAACATAGGTACATATTTGTTGTATGTTCGGATGGATACATACAAACAGACAGACGGACACACCGACATACTTACTTGTCCCCTTCCTTACCTATATTTTCCACAGATAAAGACGGAACGAACGGTTACAACAGCAACAACAACAACCAAAGCAAAACAAAAGATCCGTATTGATGACGATCATGATAATTG